GCACGTAGGAGAAAAGTAAAAATAGTTTTATTATGCAAATCGTACCCAAGCTATCGATTAAGCGCAGTCTCAAGTTCGTGGGATCAGCCGTTGTTGAGATAAAAAAATCTGAGGGCCCGTCAAGTCGTGTACTCGCGTAAACTTACACGGTCGGTCTCGCGCGCGTGGTATAGCTTCGCTTACACTTGGCGCGAGACACTACCGTGTCTCGTGATATTGCTCGGTCGCGCTATTCGATAGAGGAGATCGCGCAATTGTTTCAACAAGTCGTATCGCGGGCAAATAATGTTGACAATTCGCAGATCGAACGTACCCGCCGTTAGTACAGTTTTCGTAAACTCGTTGAATTTATAAAACTGTCGTCGGGTCATGAAATACAGATTGCCGTCGATGTATCTGAAGATTGACGTCACTCCATTCGGTATGCCTGGAAAAACGGACTCGATGGTGTGATATTTGCTAATGCTGTCGGAGCAGTCGTCTATCTCACCGACGAGATATCCGTCGTACACCACGTACGATTTTCCTTTGTTTGTATTTACAGCAGCGTTTATTTTCGCATTCATAGGAATTCCAAATTCGCGAAACGTTCTCGGCCACGTTGACACTAGCGTGAAGTCGGAGTAATTGACTTTGTAAATTTTATCGTCGACGAATAGAATCAGATGATCCGATGGCGTTTGATACACGGCGGAGATGCGCGTGAAGTTCGAATGAATGAATGGCATGTAGTTAGACAGCATAGGTTCGCTGTAGGTCTTTCCATCTATGTCGATCGCCCATATGTTTTCCATATGCTATATAAATTCGTCTCTCCAACAACAGTATCGCGTCGACGCGTTTCAAGGCACATAGATCCGGTGGAGCGTTTGGTGTTGGACGAGGCGGCGGTGGTGTTGGCGGCGGCATGGGATTCGTTTTCGGTGACACATCGGTATCCGTAGCGCCATACAGATTCTGTATATTTATAATGTCTTCGTTGCTGAGCACAACGGGACGGGGGTCTACTGGTGCGAACGCATACATTATCGACGCATTATTGGTACTATGATCTAATCCTAGCGCATGACCGATTTCGTGGGTCAACACGTATAACAAATACGCTTTGTCCGATGGACACGTATCTACCTCGACATGTATGTACCACGGTTCCGTCTTGTCGACGTGAATCTCCGACGTGTAATCCGGTGCTCCATTAGGATAGAAGGCGTGAGCCAGTGTGCCACCGGGACCGTCGAGAGGGTTCGTGCAAACTTCACCGTTTCGCGGCTCGACGAAAGTGTGATGGGCCGCGCCCCACGATAGAAGAATATTTGGCCTTACCACGTCACGCTCAAACGTTAGCGTCGAATGCGCTTGCCAAACATCGAACGCCGCCCGCGCCCGAGTCGTATCCAAGACCGGTTTGTTGGCCAAGTGAAAATTCCACGTTAGATGTTTTTTCGGCCACCTACGCGTATCTTTCTTTTGCCCCTCCTCTTCAAAATTGGCGATAGAGCGTAGACCGCATCGCGCTTTACTCATCTGGTTTAGAGTTTCGTTGTTTATCATGCCGGTAACAGGTAATTTGTAATACTCTTGAAACAGGCTGATTGCGTGTTGAAGAACGAATGTGTCCTCGCTGTTCGCTAACTTATCAAAATTCTCGTTTAAATACCCGTATCTCTGCAGATATCGTATTACCATTTCGTTATTCTCTTTCCCCACGGCTCCATTTTCGTTAATCTCTTTCCCCGCAGTTCCATTGTTCTCTTCGACCACGATTCTCTTCTTATTGTTGACGACAGCACCGTCAGAGTTAACGGTGAGAAGATACAGGATCTGTAGCCACATTATGTACACGGCTAATTTTGGCAACATTGCGACTCGCGGTCGCTCTCTCTAGTGGTCCCCAATACGATGACTCACTTCGTACTGACTACTGACTATTGAGTATATTATTACTGTACAGACTCTTTTATACCCTCCTGCCTTACACTTCCTCCCTCTTGTCTTTCCACAGCTGCATTCGACTAGCAGAGTGGCGCAATGGAAGCGCGCTGGGCCCAGAACTCAGAGGTCCGTGGATCGAAACCACGCTCTGCTAATTTTTTTTTCTTCACGTTACTTGTACATACACAGATATTACTCTACATTTTTTTTCGTTTTCCGCGATTCAATTTTTTTGTTTTATTCTTTTTGTATGATGATAATAGGGACTCATCACCGCGCGCCCCCTGGTAACCGAGGACGCAACAGCGTGCAACTTATATACTCGATTCTTTACCATGTGTCATCGAGTGTACGCGATAGCCGCATGCGTTTGAAG